CTCTATTTTTTGTCAGTCGGTAGGAGATTATTTATAAATATGAGATTATAATGTTTTGATCAAATTATGTGAGCGTTTAAGTGGTTGCTTTATCTATCCTTACCTGATGTTTCAAGGACTTTCCATAGAACTACATGGAATTTTTGCCACACTACAAACAACAAAACCAAGTCAGGTAAAATTGGTCAATACATACTGAACTGCGGTTACCTATTGGGTTTTTCGAAAAATGGTTAAGAAAATCAAAATCATTGAGTTGCAAATGAGTAAAAAAAATGATTCCACATACCAAAATATTTATTTGAATGTGACAAATTGAGTTTGAGAGAGTCAAAAAATGCATATATCATTAGAGCAATTGATAGTGATTTTTGAAAATTCTCTGACTACGACACTCAATTCCCAATGATTGATACTCCAATACTGCTTAGACTCCGTAACTAGTTCTTTTTGTAATCCCAAACAACCCCTTACTATTGTAAGTGTAGCTTCATTTTCCCTTTTTTCCTCCTACTGATTGTTAAAATTTTTAAATAAAAAAAATCATTTCCCATTTAAGAATTTTCCTTCAATTTTTATTTAAAAGAAAAAAAAAATTGAAAGAAAAGTGAAAGAAACTTTGCAATGTCGTAACTCTTAAGTTATTGATGAGGTTGATTGATTTTATGGATGTTATAGTCATGAGAATTATTTTTCCAAGCACCTACCGTGTTGGATGTGATAGAAAGAAGTATCCTGTTCATAAGCCCTGTGAACAGGACCAAACATGGTCTTAATTAGGCAGACTATAGCATAGACGACCTATACACAAACTACCACAACCAGCAGCAGCACCACCACTTACGGCAAGCTTGAACCCCCTACACAACCCGTAGAATAGGTGGAGGCAAGGATCAAAATCGACATATATAACACATGAAATTATTATTGTTTTGCTTATACCATATATTTTTTCTGCTCTACATTTTTATGTTATGTTTTTGTGTAAATAATTTTACTCTTTGTTTATATTGCTATGGGAATGACTGTGCACCATCGTGATCATAGCTGATAATTTATCTATTTCTTTCTTAAGTAAATGGAATAAATAAAAAAAAAATACACACTCAAAGACTTATAGTCAGTGAAGTACTAATTTCTTCTGCCATTTTTGAAATTTTGAAGACGTTGTTCGATTTTTCTTTTTTCTTTTTTGGAATAAAGAATTTCTTCTTTTTTTGATATTTTCTTCATTTCAATTGTTCTGTATTTAAGAATTTTCCTTCAATTTATTAAAAAGAAAAAAAGGAAAGAAAGGAGAATGAAATTATGCAATGTGGGGTTGGTGTGTCCTAACTCTAATTTGAAGAGGTAATAATGCCAACCACCTTTTAACTTGGTTGTAGTTATCTTGAAGGATATCGCCATCCTTTTGATGAAAAATATCTTTTAGTTTTGTTATATATTTAGAAAAAATTATCAAAATTTTTATTTAAAATTGAAATTTGTAAATAAAATTATTTTTTATCCTATTATATAATACACTAATTTTAAACCTACACTCTATACTTTACTTGCTTAATAAAATTTCAATTTAAATTTTTTTTATCAATGAAAATTGATTGTTAGTTGTTAAATTAATATTTAGGGGGATTTGGTGATAGCCTCTCACTATCTAATTTGTCTTTCAAAATGACAAGAATTATATAAGTTTTTCAAAACCCCCTAATATTTTAAAACTTGTTTCTTTTACTATATTACCCTCATATCTATCAGCTCTCCTATTAAGCCATCTTCACTTTGTATTTCAGAGTAAAATTTTACTCTGTATAAAAGTAAAATTTTACTCTGAAAAATGAGTAAACTGTGAGACTCTGAAGGTAAAAGTAAAATTTTACTCTGAAAAACTAGTAAAATGTTAGATTCTACACAAAAGTAAAATTTTACTCTGAAAAACGAATAAACTGTGAGATTCTGAAGCTAAAAGTAAAATTTTACTCTGTATAAAAGTAAAATTTTACTCTGAAAAACTAGTAAAATGTTAGACTCTACACAAAAGTAAAATTTTACTCTGCATAAAAGTAAAATTTTACTCTGAAAAATAAGTAAACTGTGAGACTCTGAAGCTAAAAGTAAAATGTTACTCTGTACAAAAGTAAAAAAACGAAGGCAGCGTTTGTGGCAGCTGAAGTGTTTGGCAATGACCACATCTTGACAGTAAAATTTTATTGTCATTTTAACACCAGAGTAAAATTTTACTCTAATTCTCTCAAACAAAAAACAAAGCAATAGAATCAGAGTAAAATTTTACTCTAGTTCTATCAAATGAAATTAGATAAAAAACAACAAAAATAAATAATAAAAAAAAAAACAAACAAACAAACAAAAACAAAACAAATTAATCAACAAATCAACATATCTAATTGAGAAGAAAAACTTCTAAAACTCGATCAACAATCACAAATCTCAATGAAAAGAATATATGTGTTCAACAACACTCATACACACACATATATATATATATATAACATTACAACACTCATACACACAAATATTATAGATCGATTCTGTTTGTGTGCTGAGAAAATGGAGGAAAATATTATATAACATTACAACGAAAACTTATGGATCACGTCACTTACGTTTTTTACGAATTTCATTTGTATCAAGTAGCGAAGCTAAAAGAGATCCAGGAAGTTATCTCGTTAAATGAAGAAGAAAACGCGATACTTCTTGTGATCTGTTGCCTCACAATTACTTGGAAGATGAGGATTAGGTCCTTCAATGTCGAACTATTTCTGGTAATCGAAACTGCTATATTTTTTGTCTGATTGATTCTGATGATCTGTTAGTGTTATTGTTTCAATGAATTTGATCTGCTGAAGCTTGGAAGACGCGGCTATCATGCCGCCAACCTTCTGCTGAAGCTTCGAAGACACGACTATGGTGATTATGATACAGTTGATAACGAAGCTGATTATAAATGCAGAAGCTGAGGGTATAATAGTCATATAAAATATTTAAATAATAAATTTTGTCCTTTATGCAGGATTTTATAATTATAAGGGGGTTTAGAAAGTATAATTTTTTTCTTAGTCTTTTTAACAATGAAAGGAAGGTAAAAGGGATTTATAGTTAAATTTTCCTAATATTTATGAGAGTTAGCCTCTACACTCCCACCTAATTCAACTTTTCTTAGATAGAGTTAAATATATAACCTTCCTCTGAGGACTAAACCCTTAAAAGAATCATGATATCCAACTAGACTAAAGTTTAGTTGGTTTAAAATTCTAATTAAATTTTGTAACTAAAATTCTTTAAAAACAATCTTTTGATTTGGAACTTCCATATTCTCTCTTTCCCTTTTAAAAAATGTAATTTGGGATTTTTGTCACCTTAGTTTCTGACATTTTAATTATGATACATTTGATATTGAATTTTGAATCTGGTTTCAAATAAAGACAATTGAAGCCACTGTTACTCCATTTTAAAAGCAAAGTCATCAATTTGATAAAATATAAACTAGTTTGACAAAAATAAATGTCAAAAAATTATTTTTAAATTTTTAAAAATTATATATACCCATCAAAGATAAAATTCTATAAAAATGATAAATCTTTTATACTTTTATTTTTTTTACCAAATTAATTTTTATAATGTGTTTGGATAATGACAATGTAATGGGTAACTGTTTTTGTTGATATTTTAAATGATTATCATGTAATAGATAGTTGTATTTATTATTAATAGATATTTTTAGATAGTTATCATGTAATGAATGGTTATTAGACTTTTAATGTATAATCGATATGTTTAATATATGAAATATTTTTAGTTTTAAATTTTTTTTTTATTTAATGAATTGGTTTAATAATGCCATTAAAGTTGTCGTCACTTTTGACTTTTGAAAAAATAGAAACTAATTTAACGAAAAAAATATGAAAAAATTATTTCTACCCTCCTAAAAGATAAAATTATATAAAAATTATGTGTTTTTAATTTTTTTTCACCAATTTAATTTTTAGTTTCTTAGAAAAAGATTTTGAAAATCAAACTAAACAGAACTTTATAACTAAGAAAGTTTCAACATTATTCATTAAAAAAATATCATTAAGTTTCAAATAACACACAAGTTAACAGACATTAAATAAGTTGTGTGACAACTTTGCCCCTTAAAATGGACCGTTTGCAAATAAAACATCTTTGACTGTCTTTATTTGGAATAAGTTTCAAAATCCAGGGTCAAATGTATCACAATTGAAAAATCAAAGACCAAAGTGACACAAGCTCTAAATTACAGGAACTGTTAGCGTAATTCGCCCTTAAAAAAAAATGGTCTATTTTTTAAAACATAATTATTGTTCAATTTGTTAAAAACAAATACAATAAAATGTAAAAGTAATAATTATTTTATTGACGTAATTTTTTATTTATTTATAAATGATATATACTAAGAGCCTTATAAAATGAACAATTAAAATTATCAAAACGGACCTATGAACCCCACAAACCTTTCAAGTTTTTTAAAATTTAGATTTGAATTTTAAAGAAGCACAATATAAATATGTTAGAATAACAAAAAATTAGAATATTGAAGTGAATACTCTCGTTTAATACTGTATTTAGTTAAGAGATTGAGAAAATAATTTAAAAAAAGAAAAAAAAAAGATAGATAAAATATAAGTAAAATATACTTATTTTTTATATAACATCACACATTTTTTTATTTTGTTTCTAAAATTCTTCTAAAATCCTCAACCAAACATAGGGTAATTGCAGGCACCCGTGCATGTAATTCTATTTACTACATTGTGTGAACTTTCATTGATTGGTGATATGATGACGTCATATTCCCGTCATACTTGATATTTATTTGGGTAGGACTTGCATAGTTAAAAGATAGTCTAGACTCTGTCATACTTGATATTTACTTGTGTAGGACTTACCATAGTTTGTGTAGGACTTACCATAGTTAAAAGATAGTCTAGACTGGACTTTGATCGTCTCCCTTTATAAAGCAACCCTTCATTACGATTTAATAAACCATCCTGAGTGATCCTATTTTCTCATAAATACCACCCTTTATAAAGCAACCCTTCATTACGATTTAATAAACCATCCTGAGTGATCCTATTTTCTCATAAATACCCCCATTATTCATTGTGCAAGTTGCTCATAACTCCACAGTAGTATTTAGAACCACTGAAATTCTCAATATGAGGAAATTCTTCACTATTGGGCTCCTTTTAGTTGTGCTGTTTTGTTTTGAAACAGCTAAGCCCTGTTTATGCAGTGCTTTAACCAACAGTCGTGTAGAAGATGAGAGACTAGCTCTTCTGAAGTTCAAACATGGTCTCACAGACGGTTCGCTTCAATTGTCATCTTGGCATGGCCAAGATTGTTGCAACTGGACAGGAGTACAATGTGATGGAATTACTGGCCATGTTGTCAAGCTTGATCTCCATGTTGACACTTATAACATGATGATCAACTCCTCTGCCCAGAATAAAGTTGACTCTTGTTTGCTTGAATTGAAATATCTGAATCACTTGGACTTAAGTGGAAACAAATTTCAAGGTAGCCCAATCCCCGACTTCTTTGGAGCGATGACAAAGTTGAGGTATCTCAATTTGTCTGATACAGGGTTCAGCGGGATGGTTCCCCATCATCTCGGAAATCTTTCTAGCTTGCGTGTTCTTGATCTTAACAGTAATTCTGACGTAACAATAGATGATTTCACATGGGTTTCTCGTCTTTCATCATTGCAATACCTTGACATGAGTACAGTGAATCTTAGTGAAGCGCACAATTTGCCCAAGGTACTAAACATGCTTCCTTCTTTACTAGAGTTGCGTTTGTCATATTGTGGACTTGATAATAGTCATTTATCTCATATGTATGTGAACTCTACAGTTTCTAATGTTCACTACCTAGATCTTGGCCATAATTCATTTGAAGGTGAATTTCCGAGTCGTCTCAGTAACATGACTTCTTTAAGAGTCCTTGATCTTTCGTTCAATTATTTTAATTCTTCTATTCCTCTCTATCTCGAAAACCTTAAGAGCCTTGAACGTCTCAATCTTGGCTTCAATCAATTTAACCACACTGGTGGGTTTCTGAGGCTCTTGTCGAATCACTGTAGCTTGAAATCATTTGATATGAGTCAAAACCAAATCCTTGGAGAGGATATGTCCACACTTGACAAAAATTTATCTAGATGCACCACGTATGATTTAGAGACATTGATTTTAAGTGGTGATGGATTCACCGGTCATTTACCGAATTGGCTGGGACAACTTAAGCATCTGAAAGACCTTGATCTTTTAGGTAACTCATTTAATGGTTCGATTCCAGCATGTTTGGGAAGATTGTCATACTTGCAGAATTTACTCCTTGGTGGTAATCTGTTGACTGGAGATATCCCACCATCACTAGGGAACTTGTCAACCTTGGGAGTTTTAGATCTTTCTTCCAATAAGTTAAATGGGACCATTCCTATTTCTATTGGACAACTATCAAACCTCAAGATCTTAGATCTCTCTTTTAATTCCCTAGAAGGTGTAGTCTCTGAAGCTCATTTTGCCAACCTGTCAATGTTAGAAGAATTGAAGATAGGTTCTGAATTCTTGACATTGAAGTTGAGATCTGAATGGATACCTCCTTTTCAATTGGCAACCTTTTCACTCTGGAATTGCAAATTCGGGACTCAATTTCCTCAATGGCTTCAAACACAAAAGAAACTTTTGTATCTGGATATTGTCAATACGAGCATGTCAGGAACCCTACCTGAATGGCTTCATGACATGAATCTCTTGGTATTGGGTCTCCCTAACAACCATATCAGTGGACCAATTCCAAACCTTCCTACCACTTTATTCATAGTTGATCTCTCCAATAACTTCATTTCAGGACCTCTTCCTCAAAATATTGGAGATATGGTTGCTTTGTCATCTTTGTATGTGGTTGGTAATTTGATAAATGGTTCTATTCCAAAGTCATTTTGCAAAATTCTAAATTTGGAATATCTCGATCTTTCCAAAAATATGTTATCTGGAAATCTTCCTCATTGTTTGGGGGAACTCTCCAACCTATCCATTTTGAAATTTGCATCCAACAACCTTTCAGGAGTTATTCCAAACTCTATCGGACATTTGACTACTCTCCTGGGGTTATATTTGAATAACAATAGTCTTTATGGAGAGCTTCCTTCCACTTTGGGAAATTGCAGTAGTTTAGCATATTTGAATCTTGGTGAGAATGGATTCAAAGGAAACATACCTAGATGGATTGGAGAATTTAAAGACTTGGCCATTTTGAGATTGCGTAAGAATATGTTCAATGGTAGTATTCCTTCGCAGTTATGCCGACTGCCTCAACTCCAAATCATGGACCTTGCAGATAATAATTTAGAAGGAACCATCCCTCGTTGTTTTGGCAATCTCAATGGCATGATTTTGAATGAAACTGGTATACGATATAATTTAGGAGGATGGTTGGACGAGAACATAATACAAATCATGAAAGGAAATGAACTTGAATACACCACTGCACTATTGTATGTTGCCAACATGGACCTTTCAAGGAATAATCTGATTGGAACAATCCCTGAAGAACTGACGCTTCTTTCTGGTTTGCGTGGGCTGAATTTATCACATAATAATCTGAGAGGAAGCATCCCTAAGAATATCAGTGGCTTCAAGTCATTGGAATCTCTTGATTTCTCTAACAACCAACTTTCAGGCACAATTCCGGAGAGTATGTCTGCTTTGACTTTTTTGAGCCACTTGAACCTGTCATACAACAACTTCTCCGGACGTATTCCAACTGGAAAGCAACTCCAAACCTTTGATGATCCTTCTGTTTACGCTGGCAACAATGAACTCTGTGGAGCTCCGCTACCAAAGAAATGCCCCGGTGATGAACATTCACAATCTCCAACAAGTTTAATCCCAAGTCATGTAGAAAAACATGACAGAGATAAAGCTGAAACCGTATGGTTTTACCTGGTTATAATGAGTGGTTATGCCACAGGACTATGGGGAGTTATTGGAGTTTTGTTGTTGAAGAAGAACTGGAGACATGCTTATTTTCAGTTTGTGGCTCGGATGGCTCGGATGAATAAGTAGATTTTCAAATAAAAACCAAATGTTTACCATGTATCTATTTGGTGTGGCTCGGATGACTCGGATGAATAAGTAGATTTTCAAATAAAAACCAAATGTTTACCATGTATCTATTTGGTATGTAGACCTATGTATCTTTCTCCCCTTCTCTATCTTTCTATGTTGTATGTGTAAGTGGGGTGGTGGCTATGCAGTTTTCAATTCAAGTATTGCTATTCAAGTTCAAAAGTTAGATTTACTTTATAAATTAATGATGTGTTAAAAAGATGATTGGTTGATAATTAAATATTCTTTAATTATCAACAAATCATCTTCTTGACGCATCACTAAGTTTAGAAAGTAGATCTAAAAAATGGACTTGTATACCATTTTCCTTTCATTTTATACATCTGGATCTTGTTTTTGTTTTTCTTATATTTGTTTGGAGTTTTTTCTCTGTTGTTTTGAGAGTTTCTTTGCAATAATGATATATGCCATATTTGATCTTTATTGTAATTGTAATTCAGTAAATTTCATTATAACATGAGACTTGGTTTGAAAAAAAATAAAAATAAAAATAGTGAACTGTGTAGCCTTAAATTTATTTTGTCGTTGGATTCACTACAGGTAATTGTATTCCATAACACACCTCTCTCTCTCTCTTTGTACATGTATGTTTTGTATAGTCATTTGGGATTGTGATCCTCTCTTTTATTGTTTATCTATTTATTATTTAGGAAAATTATCAATACACTTTTTGATACTTATTTAAAATATAAATTATTCTTTATGATTTTATAAATTACATTTCTTTTTCTAATAGCATAACAAATGACTCATTTTTATTAATAAATTATCAAGCTAATTAATTTTTAATGTTGTCAAAAATATATTTTAATTAACAATTCAAGTAATTTTATTGTTATAAAGGAGAGTTGTTATTTTCTCTATTAATTTTATTAAATTAAAAATTCTGATGAAAGGATTTATAATTTTCAAAATCACAACAGGTGATTCGTATTTTAAACAAATATTAGGAGTGTATTTATAATTTATCATTTTTTTTTTTTTATCAAAAGTGAATCTCATCATGTTAATATTTATTACAATTTTTTTTTTATATTTTTGTAATTTAATTATATGAATGTTTGCTCTCTTCAATCGAAAATGCATGATCAACTCTTTCATTTGCAAATCCTGAGTCTTCTCCTAATCCTCTCCGCCATGTGGTACAAAATTTGTAAATTTTATCATCATTTAATTATAATAAATTAAATATTTTTTATTCAAAAACTCTTGACTCGTGAAAATTATTTTTTAAAAAATTTAATAAGTAAACAGAAAAACTAGAGACAACGAATTTGGTTTTTTTATTTTTTATTTTTTAAATGAGGGGGGTTTTTCTCAACTTGTGTTTTAATAAAAATTTTCGTGATCTTATTTCCGTGGCACATAGAACAGCTGATAAGTAAATTTTTTAAATTACTAGTCGTGTGAACTTTTAATTTCGGAATAGTCTACATGGGGATGAATCTCGATTCCGGAGAGCTTCTTGCTGTCAAACAGGTCGATTCTTGTGTGCTTATTATGTTCGGTTTCTCTTTTTACTGAGTTTGATTTTTGAGTTAATTCTGGTTTTGTTGATGGGTTATTGATTGTTCAGGTGTTGATTGCGTCGAATGGTGCTTCGAAGGAGAAAGCACAGGTTGGATCAAATGCTATTGTTATATACACGGTTCCTTATTAATTGAAGCATTGCAATTTGCATCATTGTTAGGTTTAGGTTGGATCAAATGCTATTGTTATATATACCAGTTCCTTCTATGCATTAATTGAAGCATTTTATCATTGTTAGGTTTTCTTCTTGCATGCATCAATTACTTTTCCTAATATATGTTAAGATGATGTTATTTGGTCTTAATCTTCTATCTGGTTGCTCAGAATTTGTTTTCTAAGGTTACATCAAATGCAATATTCAAAATTAGTAACTACCTGCATTGCAGAGCAGTACTCCATCATCATCATCATCATCATCATCATCATCATCATTATTGTTATCATGCAATGCATTGCATTGCGTGGACAATTTAGAGCATTCAAACCCTAGATTTCTTTGATATATTCCACTTCTTTGGATTTGCCGTTTCAATTCGTCAAGTTTTCCTTCTTCTTGTTTGAATGAATACAACAATCAATCCTTGAACATTATGCTTAATAGGATATTGGGATAGTTTCTGACGGGCTATATCAATTTATTTTATTTTATTATCCTGTTGTTATCAACAGAAAAGTTTTATAATACATTAATGGGATTTTGGGATTTCATGGACTAGACGATTGAAATAATCTAAAGTAAAGAATTGATGAATTTTTTCTTTAAACACAAAACTATGTTGAAACTATTTGGTTTTTAGGAATTTGTAATGTAATGAAAAATAGTTAAATGATTTTGTGTTATGGTTTCCATTGTATTTGTACAAGCATGAGGTTTAGCAAACAATATGAAGGTTTTCTTTTTTCACTAAAAGCCAATCTAAATTCTAAAGGGCTTTATTGCTGTGGTGGATTTTAGGATTAGAAGCATTATTTGAAGAGAAAAGGGGTGTGTGTAAATGGGTGTGATCGTAGATTGTTGATGAGGGAGTGGTTGATAGACCTTGAAGAGGGGGCTATATATGTGTTGAAAGCTAAATATGTGTTGAAGCTAAATCCATTTTGGAATGGAGTTTGGTTTTGTGTAGTTAACTCATAATGATAGAGTCACGAGTTAAAAATAATTGTGGAATAATAGCCTAATCTAGATATAGGGATTAGTAAATAAGAAACTTTCATTCACTAGATACTACTTTTGAAAGGGGTTTCATTTTGTTTTTAGTTAATTGATCATGACAAAAATAGGTGTTTGAAGTGATGGTTGAATAGTTGGAACTAGATTAAATGTAAATAACAAGAACCACCACCATTGTCGCCTGCATTTCAGGAATAGGTTGGATGTCCACCTCCTAATTGAAGAATATATATAATTACATATGCCACATTTTAAAACCTTAGTGATATACATATCTATATTCTGTGATAATTGACAAGCTTAAGACTCCATTGGGATACAAGTAATGCAATTGCAAACAATTTACTGAAGAATATATAATGTAAGATGGATTGTGCAGGTATGTCTAGCCTATTTCTTGGGATTTTGAGGAATGCCATTTTTTAGTAGTATTTGAGAACTGTTTGATATTATCACTAACTTCAAAGTTTATTTGGACCAAGGTAATTTTTGGATTATAGAAAACATTGTATTGTTGCTGATGCTGTTGATAGGACCTATTCTACTGATTTTGTTTTTTCATCTTCCCCCAAGTCAAAATACAATGATACTGATTCGTTAATGTTTTGGGACTTCATTATAGATTGCAAAGTCGTAGCTGCTATTAACAGCTTCAAGTTAACTAATATTGAATCAAGAATAACTCGCTCCTTTGTCCGTAGTTTATTCATTGCTGAACATTAAACTGGTTTTTGCAGCCAAAATACATCGATGGCAACTCAAACCAGAGGCCTAATTCGAGACCAGAATCTAAATGTTCACTTTGATGGTACTGTACTTATTCATTTCCCCCCCATGATTGTCTATAATCCAATCTGTTGATCAGATCTCATGGTGGTTTAACTTTTATGTCTACTGCAGCAGCTCCTTTTGGGGTAAAGTCCAATGTCTTGAAGGCACAGAAGAATGGAGGGCTCGGTGGAAGGAAGGTGCGTAACAATGTATCTATCTCAGGGAGGCCTTCCACACTTCAGACATCAAAGAAGCACAACCCAAAGAATGTGATCTCTATTGGAGAAGATATTGGTCCCTCTAAAATGACATCTTTTGGACGAAAAAGAAATGTTTCGAAGGCTCCAAAGAAAGCACAAGCTGGTGGCAGAAAAGCACTCAGTGACCTCACAAACTCCGGGAAACATCCACATCAGGCATCAAAGAAGAGTCAGGATAAGAAGTTGACTGTTGTAGAGGAACAATTTCTGCATAATCATCAGGAATGCATCAAGGCACAGAGGAATGCCAAAACCATTGCCAAAACCACTCAGTGACCTCACAAGCTATTTGCACTAGATAGATAAGGGTACTGTCTCTTTTATTCTTCTGAGAAACCTACTAACATTTATTTGCCTTCATATATAGATGGTTACTCAATGCAGTTAGGCTCTCCACTGTCCGGGAAATTGAAGGTCGGTACACATTTTGATCTCACTTCATAAAATGTTTATCCTTTTCTTTTTGGGTTTTCATGATTCGGGTATTCAAGATCAACACAATGACATACTATCTTCTTTTTCTTTCTTGTTTTTGTTGTTGTGCCTGAGAGTCCTCTTTGGTACTTGGAGATGGAAGAGATGTTTGAGCTTGAGTATGAAGATCAATCTCAGTGGAAGAAGCCTAGCGTACAAAGTCCTTGTGGAAGTCCAATTTCACGTTGAAGCACTCACTACTCCCAGATGATGCTCCTGTCCAATCTCATTATTAGCCCTTCGTTGTTTACGATAAATTATTTCATTTTTGTAATTTTTTAATTGCTAACAAACGAACTTAAATGGGTATCAGAAACCAAACAAAACTTGGTGATGTGTACATAACGCAACTTGAGTTGTAAAGTTTTCTGCTATGCATTAGCAAGTAAATAAAATTATTAATAAGTTTTATTTTGTTCACAAGATTATTATTGAATCCTATAAGTTTTATTATGGACACTAAGTTTTTATTTTTTTTAATAAAATATTTTGAAAAAATTCAGTTCCTTATAATGGTGAATTCTATCTATATCAATTTTATGCTTCTCATTTGATATGAACAAAAAATTTATAAGCGATTTTAATTTACTTAAATAATAGTTTTTCAATTGTATAAATTAAAAATATTATATTAATCAAACCCTTAAACAACAATTGAATCGAAAGAACTCTAGCATGAAATTCATTATTTTCTATTATTTGAAATTGTGATTTTATTATTATTATTTTTAGGGTAAACTATCAATAGGTCTTACTAATTAGACTTAATTTTCATCAAGTGCAATTAAAAATAAATCGTAATAAAATGGTTGTCAAAAATAATTTTTTTTGATGATTTTTTGCATGTCACCAAATTTTACAATTAATGACTTTTTTTTTGTCAAGATTTTTATAAATTGTCACTAAAACTTACAATTAGTTACTTTTTGTGACATTTTTCAAACTGTCGTTGAAAGTTGAAAATTAATGAAGCTTTTTTGTGATGATTTTTTTAAACTGCCACTAAAACTTATAATTAGTAACATTTGTTGTGACAATTTTCAAATTGTGCTAAAAATTAACAATTAGTAAATTTTTTTTAATAGTGTTTGATGAAAAACACTATTAATTTTCACAGGACCAATTGGATAATAAATCCATCTATTAGAACCTACACGTAAGTCTCAATTTTTTTATGGTAAGTAATCCTAAGAGACAAATTTTTATTAGAGTTATTTTTTGATAAATCCTCTTTCTAAGTATTTTATTC